TTGAAAAGAACTGTTGCCTCTATTTAAATATAGATACTACATTCACTTATTGATGTTCCTATCAATAAAGACCTTACATTGCAAAACATATGACACAATGATTAGAGAATTTGTTTTCTTTCTGACGGCCTGTTCAGCAGCCTGTTGCTTCATTGGGTGCCTCTGGGGAGCTGATTTTGGGTCTCAACATTTTAAAAAGCACATTCTAAAGATTAACAAAAAATGGTATGAAAAAGTGACATTGGCTTTTCTGGGAGCATGCACACCATTTTGTTTCAGATGATTTTGCCAATACTAGCAGCAGTGCTCAAGAGTTTTCTTTGGATCTCTGTGAGACTATCCATTTTATCCTTCAATATTGGTCTAGAGGGTACAATAAGCTCGAGATTTAGATTGAAATCTCAAATATGTATGCAAATGTTCACACCTTTCAATAGTATTGCAGCATTCTTTCATGAACTGAGAAATACTCCTTGTTGTCTAAATGTTGTTGTAAATATTGAATTGGTCTTGTTTCATCATGGACACAAAAAAAGGGATTTCAAAACCTGGCATAAAATATTTTAAAAATGCATGAGATAAAATAACTATACCCACTGTCTAATGAGCTGATAGATACTGGTTTCTTTGTTACCCACAGTTTCAACTGAAAGTGAAATAATTATGGACAGTAATATTTACCTGGTAGATCTGAGCCCCTGCAGTCCCAGAACTGAATATTTGCTCTTTTTCAGTGGCAGAGATTCTAGTTTGATGTGGCTATTCACATTTTTACATTTCTGTGGGGTTTAGTGTCTTCCACGGAGTTTGATCTTGTCTGAACATCGTAGTACAAAAATGCCTCTTACACTAGCTTTAAACTTTGCAAGGACCTGTGTTAGTATACATCAGCAGCTTTATCCTGTAAATAGGTAAATGCAGAAGTTAATTAGTGGTGATTACTGTCTGTGCCGTACCACTCTTCCTCAATTGTATTTCTTCCTCTTCTGAATAGAGTTTTTATTTTGTGGTGAGCTTAGGTGGGCTACAGTTGCATTCTTCTGCATATCTATGCTCAATCCATTGGTTTTGCCAGTATGCTGCAGATCGAAATTTAGCAGCAGAGCCAGAGGCTGGTGGTCCACTACTGGCTATCAGTGGAAGAAAGTCTTTGTTACCTCTCCCCAATGCTGCCACAACTCAGTGTTGCCTCAGTAGAACTCGGGGAACTACTATTTCAATTCCAGAGTTATTTTCCAGGCGTCTTGTTACATTATTGGTGTCACTCATTCTTAAAGAGTTTATAATTGCTTGTTCCTCTATAGCTGTGCCAGAGTGGCATTCCAGTGTCTTTTACTAAGACCTCAGGAATTTAAATACCTTCTCAAAAATGGTATTTAAGTGCATGTAAAATTTTACTTAGACTTTCTGATGTAAAGTCCTGCTCGTTGTGCTCCCTTCCTTACAGTGTGTCGTCAGAGACATTTCTCTTCCAAGTCTTTGGACTTTTATCTCTGAAAATCTAATGTTCATAATTGTCTTAACAAGCATCAGATTGACAAAACACGTCCTGTTGGAAAGAAAGAGAAGAATAAATATGCTTATATATGGTTTGCTAGGCGATCAGTCTCATTCCTTGTAAGCAAGAAAGTGTGTGTATTAGAGCAGACCCAATATGAAATTCTTTTGCAGACAGATTCAAGCTCTTGTAGTTAAGACATAAGTGCATGTTTCAGAAGGTGGAAAGGAGCAGATGAGAACTAAGAACAAACCTTGCAGAATGAATCTGCAACCTTCATCCCTTCCACTGATTTGCTTGCTTTTTCATTCGTACATATTGAGCACTTTTCCCACTTCTAAGTAATGCAACTGTCCCTAACTCACGCCAGTAAATATTTTACGCTGGACGGTTACTGTGTAGATACAGCACGTGAAATTAAGTTTCTTAAAGAAACATTAATCCAATTACTTCTTCCTCGTGCAGGCCTTGTATTATGAAAACTTTACAATATGTACAATAGTATATTAGACAGGATATTTAAATAGCGACATGAAATGAAACATATGTACAAAATAACCAGAAAACATTAACATTGGCATTTCGCCTTATTTTAATTGTACAACCTAAAGGTGGTATTAACACATGATTATGCATTTAATTTTCTAGTTTGATTAAAAACCGTTGCATGTGCTTATTCATAGTTTAAGTGGTTCCAATGGGCTCTTGAAGTCTTTCACTTCAGTGAAGCAAATGGGATGTGGTAGACTTGAGTTCCAATCTTCGTTGCTCACTTCACTTTGACCGATGAGTTTTCTGCAAGCCCAGGTTAACAAGGCTCATAGATATTAGTTTACAGAGTAGGGCTATGTAATTTTTAAAATTATCCTTTTGGATTGATAGCTTGTTGATATTACACAGTGTTACCATTATTGAAACAGTCTCTAGAATTGTAAGGCTTAATTTATTAGCCTTCATTCAAAATATTTGAGAAATGAATTAGTGAATGCTGTTCAGAAAGGATTTTAGATATCATTCACCTCTACTGATACTAAAGCATATTCCATCTTCCAAGTCTTTTTTTTCAGTTGCTCATAACTTTTCTTTTTAGTGATCCCAGCAGCCAAGCGGGGATGCAGAGGAGATATGATCTTGCCAAATTTCTTTTGGCTGTTTTAAATGTAATTTTGTTCAAAACGTGTTTGGAATTGCATTACAAATAAAAAAAAAAAAAAAAAAGACAAAGCATAGTATCTGCACTAATACAATTTAAGAAGTGTTGAAATTACTTTCTTACTGCGTAGCAATCACTCCCAGCAGTTGGTGAAAAACATAACCTGAAGAATTTCTTTCCTCTCTGTTCTTTCTATTCACAGTTACACTGGTTGAAACCTTTTGCTAACTCAGCTGACATACCGGCATTTCCAAAGACGTTGTGGGAATGTCATCCACTTGCAGAACAATGTGAATACCTTCAGAGTCTGACCTGTTGTGTGCGCAGGGGAATGTGTCACTCTTGAAGCATCGCTACCTTAGGGAGGCAGCTTGGCAGTAGTTATAATGGCCAATGATGCTACAAAATTTACAATAGCGAATGAAGAATATTATACATGATAGAAACAGGAGGGTTATTTAGATAGGCGTAATATACTGTAGTTACTGAAGTATAAATGACTGTGAAGGAAAGGGCCAGATTTTTCTCAAGCTGTGTCTGCTATTTACCATACGTTGTATTTAAAGGAGACAGAATTGTGGTGAACAATCGTAGGCAGCTCACTGCAGAAGGTGAGGATGTATGGGAGATAGGGAGCCGGTGGAATGACCAGATAGTCTTTCTGACTTGGAGAATGGGGGATGTGGCAGGAAGCAAGGAAGGAAGGAAGCTGCCCCACACCGTTGGAGTTACTTGCTGCTATTTTGGTCACTTGGGAACATGGGCAGTTGGCAGAAGCTGAAGGAGCCCTAACCCCTGCAAGCTAACGCTACTTTAGTTGTCTTTGTCCTTATCTGGAGTACCTTCGCTTTTCAAAGTAGTTAATAATCAAGGCCCAGAAGTAAACACCTGTTTTTTTAGAGAACAATCCTAGCTGAAAGGCGGTGCGTTCACAAACACAACGCTTTGGGTCTCAGCGTGGATTGTAAGTTCACTCCTGGCTCAGAGGAACAGGACCCTAATTTCCTGGCTTGCCAAGTCCTTTCCCCAACTGTTCCCCGCAACTGTATCACATAATTCTGTTCTGAAACTGAACAAGTTTTATCTAAAACAAGATTTAAAAAAAGTCACCCTCACAACTCAGGTTAAAAGGCTGAAAACTATCTAACTCTAGCTTGCATATATTTAGGGCAGTTTGCAAACCCAGAGTTTGTTGGTATTCAGTATAACCCGCTCTGTGACCCTCCTTAGCAAAGGAAATCTGGTGAGATCTTACCCTGCAGTCACAAGAGTAGTTTCCCTCTTTCTGGTTTCATTTGGTCTCCCGGGGAGAAGTAATAGTCTCCCATGTGACAGTGGGAGAGGGAGATGTTCACCTTAAGGACATGCACTGAAAATAAATCTGAAACACATTTCCTTGCGCATAACCCAGTTCTTTACATTGAAATTACCCTTTGGATTTTAGAGCGGTTGCAGAAAGTCTTGGGCTACTAAGACCATCAAATGGCTTATCCTGTTCTTGAGATTCGTTTCAGTAGAAGGTGCAGGAAATATAGATTTAATTCTTTTATTCAAACTCAGTAGATGGTTTGGGACAATTAATTTCCAATTGTTTCCCAGTAGAGCAGATTTACTTGTATATTAATGAGGCACAGGTGTTAGGCCCCTGGTGCCTGCATGCCTGGGAGGCATATTTAGGTTGTTTATCTAGTCAGCCATAGGTACTGCAAGGTACTCAAGCTTGCCTTTAACAGTTTATACAGTGAGGCTTTTTAATTTTTTGATGTTTTTTTAAATTTGCTAGCACCTGTTAAAATTTTAAAACTGATCATGTAGAAAGAAGTAGGAGTGATTTCAATAGTAAATAGCACTAAATGTTAAAGAAAGTCATCTTCTATTATGCTTAACTGCCCAGCTTGACATTAAGGAGAAAAGAAGGTTCATTTAAGCAAATATGTCATGTGAGGAGCTAATACAGTCAACAGTATACTTTTCTATTGCATATTTTTGGAATAGGTACTTCTTTGTCTACAGCTGAAACATGAATGTGCTTACATTAATATTCATTTTTCTTGTTTATTCATTGAACTGCAGTACCAACATTTTAGAGGAAATGGAATAGCCTCCATAGACATTATGAATTTCAGTAGCTGGCATAATTATAGCGATCTACATATTCATTAAATCCAAAGAAGAAATGTGTCCAAAAAGACAGCCATGCGTTTAGAAATGGTACACAACTAAATATATACATTAAAAAAAGTTCCTTTCCTCTGCTTATCCAAAATTGTGTAGTGTCATATAGTCCTTAAATCAGCTAAGACTTTTTTTTTTTGTTTAAATGTTCATTCCTTTTGCTTTTGCACGCAGTAAAGAATGGGAAGAACTATTTGTAAACAACAATTACTTGGCAACTATACGGCTGAAGGGGATTAATGGGCAGCTGAGAAGCAGCAGGTTCCGTAGTGTTTGCTGGAAGGTAAGAAGAGAAAATATTTATTTACAGTTTGTGGTTGCAATATATCAACACATTACCTGATGCGCTGGAAGATTATTGATGCAAAGAATCATGAATTTTCCAAGAGACTTCATCCCAATGTTTTCCTACTCGTTTTTATAATTCATAGGACATTTGCTAATCATACTGAGTTGCCTTAAAGCTGAATTGCAGGTGATAGCAAAAGATTCCTAGGAAGGAATCTCTCTGTGCTGGGTGGTGTGTTTAGAGTTGAGTGCCACACAGCCGTCTCTCTTCTCGGTCTCTGGGCGGTGAAGTCGTGCACTGGAAACAGAAAGGAAGTTTGTCTCACAATTTATGTTTTGTGGAACTTGGGACTCCTTTAAAATCAGTCTGATGCTTCTGCTAGCAGCTTTTCCCGGTGAATTGAGAAAATGAGGACCAGTCCATCTTGTAATGACTGCATAGAGAGGGAAGCCAGGTCTTCCAATCTTAAAACAACAGGTCCTCAGAGGTCTCTTACTGTATTTTTTAAAAGTTGCAGGGGAAGGAAGAGAGAAAGAAAGCGAAGTAGTACTGAGATGCTGTATGAAGTCCAGAAGAATTTTGTTGCACTGGCATCAGGTCTTCTCTTCTGCACTAACTTTGATAGTAGGGAACATTCTCCCTAGTAGAGATGTTTTATGTTAACACTGATAATTTAAATTACCTCACTTGGAATTTTTCAAGCTTCCCTTTGGCACAAAGACCTATAAAAAGAAATTTAAAATACTCTTTGTATATGAATGAAAGAAATTTGAAAATGGAAGTTTGAAACTTGAAATGTATGTAGCATTTGACAAATTTAAAGTTAATGAAAATACTTTCTTCACGAGGCCAGATGAATATATGCCACAAGCATTGTTTTACCAGTCTGCTTCTTCTTGAGCCTCTAAATTAGGAGGCCATAACTCAAAACCCTGAACTAACAAAAGCATCAAGTCCCTTACTGTCCACCAATTAAATCAAGGAGTGGTTTTATTTTAGAAATAAGACTGGTTTTATTTGCATGTCTCGATATGGGTTAGGGCTCTCTTTTAGACTGCCTGTTTTAAAAAGATTATCAATTTTTTTATTAAGTTCTGAAATATTTAAGTATTTTTAATAATTTGGGAATGTTTTTTTGTTTGTAAGTATTTACTGTTTCATAACACTTTATAATGTGTAAATAAAAACATTTAAAAGGCAAGAAAATACTCTGGTTTTTTCCTTATTTTATGTGCAATTACATAGTATTTTCCAATAGAGGTTTCTTTCTAACCCTTTTTAAACAGAAATGTGAAAGAACCGAGATGTAGGCATTCTCATGGACTTTATGCAAAATCGATCCTTTTAACTGTCTTGCAGAATTCTAGAACATGTTACTTTTCTATAGACTAAGATTTTCCCTTTCCACATTCCTCAGGCAGAGTACATCTCTGAGTGCTTAGTTTCTGCTCTGCATTGACGTTTGGTTTTAAGCATGTTACATTAGCTCATCAGTGTTATGCAAATAGCTTCAGGTTTTGCGTATTTATTTTCAGCTCTTCTTTGTATTTGTTTCTGCCTTGGAAGTCTCAATCAACTTTACTGAAGTTGTGACAGTTTACAAAGCTTGAGTTTGTGGCTTCAGGTTTTTTTAATGCTTTATTTCCTACTGTAGAACTGTTATTGTTTCTAGCTTCTTATTTATTGACTGGAAAGTACTAAAGCCAGGAGTATTTTATAGGTCTTGCTTTCTTCTCCTTATGTGTAGAGTACTTGCTCCTCCTTTCTGAGATGGTTTATGCTGTCGGGTAGGATTTATATGAAAAGCTATGTTAAATTGATTAAACTTAATGGATTTATTTTGCTTTGTTGATAGTTATTTCTGGAGGTTCTACCCCAAGACAGAAGTCTATGGATTAAAACCACATCAGACTTAAGAACTTCTTACAATAAGATCAAAGAAATTGTAAGTTGGTACGAAATAGGTTCTCTACTCTCATGCATTGACATAGGTATTAATACTTAAAATATAACAGAAGAGGATTTGACTTTTTTCTGTTTTTACCCAGCACATTACAAACCCTCGGAAGGCAGGACAGCAAGATCTGATAATCAACAACCCACTCTCTCAGGACGAGGGGGTAAGTTGACCCTTGGTTCTATCAACATATGTGCTATTAAAATTCTCATCATCATCATGCTGACACAAGTGAGTTCTTGCTGAAAAAGGAAAAATGGCAGGTGCTAAAATCTCCCTCCTAAATTTCCAAACTGATTTGTGTTAACAGTGGTTCACAGACTTTGCTGAACAACCAGAAATGCTCATTTCCAGGTTAATATTCTGATTTTTCAGGGCTTATCACAAGGAAGGCTGTGACGAACGAAAAATCAGTGCTGGACTATAAGTCAAGTTTCACAGCATATCCTTTCTTTGACTGATATGCTTTTTTATTGCTGTGTGTTTTCATTTTATAAGCAAAATGGCTCTAACTGAAGGAGTGTTTAAACAATCAATATGAAGGGAATGCAGTTAACAGCAAATACTGAAGAACCCTCCGCTGGAAGACTGTTCAGCCTTGGAAGTTTTTCTCCAGCAAAAATAGAATTGTTGTATGTCTGAGTTCTATACGTGCTGAGTTAATGTCTAAAGCACCAGGCTGCAAGATATGCATTTCTTCCAGGGTTTTTAATTCTTTTTCTTTATACAGTTAAAAGAAACAGAAGTTTCTTTTCTAATCAGAAAGCAGCCAGCTGCAAAATGACAGATCCAGATTTTAAAGAAATACTGAAAATGTGGTAAAAGTATTTGGCCTGACTGTCATTAAGTGCAGAGCATCCAGCTCTCACTGAAATTAATGGGACCTCCTGGTAGCTTGGTATTTTCATGACACTTTGATGAGGGTTTACATGTAGATTTGGGAGCTTAATTTTAGGCTTTTTTTTTTTTTTTTTTTTACGCTGCATTTTATTATATCTGAAAAGCTCTTAGGTATTTTATGGCACCTATCTTTAAGCTTCTCCATTAATTATGTTACCATTTCTGAAAACTTTTTTTTATCACATTTTCAAAGTAACTTAATACCATGCAAATAATTTGTTTGGCTCGTTTAAGAGATTTACACCTGGAAAGACTGTCACAGATATCTTTTGTGGTACTGCTTACGTTTCCGTTTTGTTCACAAAAATGGAAGCCCGTATTTTGTTTGTATTTAGTGTGGTACTCCGCTTCATATTTAACGTAGAAGGAGAGAGAGGTTTGCTTGTGGAAACATGGAGGTATTGATCATAGGCACATGGGTGGCTCTGCAGCCGGTGTGACTCTGCATGCCATCAAACCATTCGTGCATCCAGCTGGACAGAAAGTTGTGTCAAATGTAAAATTTTTAAAGTGTTTCTGCTGTAGTTTGTGATTATACACAGTGGCACAACCTTCTTTCTGCCTGTGATGTCTTTTGGAGACAGAAGACAAAGGTTAACATGTCAGAGTATGTGGCAGGGGATCAATCTACAAAACAACGTCATGGGCCAGACCAGGTATAGGAATGAAGAGCAAAGTGCCCACGAGCCTCTGCAGTGACTTAATGTTTTACCCTTTCAGCATCCTGGGTTTTGCTTCCTTTTCGCAATATTCTGTTTCCTTCGTCCTTTGCTCTGCTGGACAGGGGTGGGAGCAGGGGGAGCAGATCAAAATGTGATCTAGCTGCATGAAAAGAGCTGCGAGTTAAAAAGATACTACTTCTACGTAAGACATTGTCAAGGATTTAAATACTTTTAAACTTTGGGGGGTTTTTTCATAGTTTGTAACACAAATATAGAAGCTAATTAACATTTTCTTTTTTGTTATTTTACCTTCTTTCTGCTAGATAATGTTAATTTACTTTCTCTTTTCTTTCTGTGGAGCGTGAGCCACCATGGCAATGAATTGTTTACAGGGGAGCAAGAAATTCTGGAAGTATTGTAGGCACTTTCTTTGTACAGTACTTCATTCACTGGTGCTGCTACTCTCTGAAAACTAACCTGTATGAAAAGACTGCTATAGATGTTGTTCCTTCTGTGTTTTTGATCAATATGGCCAAGCTACCATCCCTTTAACAATAAAGAATAGGCTTTACAATACTTTTTCTGGAGCACACAAACAACAACATTTGCTGACTTCTTTCAGGTTAGCTTTTGCAAAATATTGGTAAACAAGGCATGGAAACGAAAGAAAGAGAATGGAAATGGTGATAAGCACAGATATAGAAGAAGCTAAACCTACTTCAAACTCTTTTATTTGATTTTTTTTTTGTGTGTTGACAGTGAGCTTTAAATACCCTGGTTTTCCCTATCAGAACTTTTTTAGAATGGCCAGTCTTGATCTGCACTGTGTATATGTACCATTAGAATGATGTCATTTTCATGGTATTTGATCATCATACATTCCTTATTCGATTTTACCCCCACTAAGACAAACTAGCTTACTTCCAAGCAATTTCTTAGTGTGGAAATTATAGCAGCTTCCAATTAAGAGTCCGTACATTCATAGGAGAAATGTAATACAGTACGGTGATATAGACCTTTTTCTCCATGAGTGAACTACTGAATTTTTTTTCAGTTGAGCTGCTGGTTCTGGTAAATTTGAATTTACTCTGCCTTCCTAAACACTCTTCACAGACCCCTTACAGGTAACTCATAGACTTGCAGCCATCCGGTGAGTGAATGGAGTGAGCCTAGAACACGGATCCAGCAACCTGAATGTTTTCATCTCTGATCTAAACTGACTTTCTCAGACACGTTGGTCTGGTCACCAACATTCTTTTTCACCTATAAAATATTGATATACCTATCTACCAGGAATGTTGAGGATTAATTATTTAATATTTGTACAGTACTTTGCTGATGTAGTATATAAGCCTTAAGTATTAGTAGAATTCTCTGTTTCATACAATTATTTTTCCTTATTTCAGAGTCTTTGGAATAAATTTTTCCAGGATAAAGAGCTTCGAGCAATGATTGAACAAGATGTGAAAAGAACGTATGTAGATCTTTAAAGAAATTTCTATATCTAAATTTAGATTCTGCATTTTCATGTGTATAGATTATATTATGTTTTCTTGACTTCGGTTAGTGTAAATGTCAGGATTGTTGAAAATGAATGTGTAGAAACATACATTAAATGTATAAAAATACAGCTTTCTTGGAGTGAAAAACGAGAAAATGGAGTTAAACATTAAACCTTGGAGATTTATTGGTATCATTGAAGAAAAGCTCTTCTAAATTAAGATATTAGGAAATGTATTATTATATGAAATATAAAGTAGAGTTTTCCATATGAAGCAAAGAGAAGGTAAGAGAAACTGAAAGGTCTTGTAACTAAATTATGATCATAATAAAAAATTGAACAGATGATTTTCTTTAATTCTTAACACTTATTCAATCAATAATAAAAAAAGCAGTTTGTAATTAGTAAGGGAAATGTCACTCATCTAGAGAAGTTAAGCATTTCTATTTCTATTTTTTCAGTTTTCTAGTGTTATTTGTCACATATGCCTTTTAAAATTTGTCCTAATATTACTGTGATTGTGTTTTCATTTTCTTGGCCATTAGGTCATGCCTGTTGAGGAACTTGTTTGAGTTAGAACACTCAGTTCCTGAAAACATTTCTTTTCGGCATGGAAGCATTGACTGATGTGTAAATCTAATTAAATTCAATTACTGGTTTGCTACCATGTGAAATTTTACTGTATTGCAAATATTTTTCCTTATAACTTGAAAAAAGTGGTGATAGTCTTAGATTTTACAAATCCCAAGCTCACACATTTTCATTTACAAAGAAACAAAGTCATGCAGAAGAAATCATTGCTCTCTGGTTTTGGAATATTTTATATGTCCGTCCCTAGACCCATTCTTGAATGCATTTTGCCATGAGATGTATAATTAAAATCTGAGTATGCTTTCATGTGCATTCTCACAGATGGTATTTTTTGTTTGTTAAAGGAAACAGTTCAGGATGTTCTAAGATTAAAATATATACATATCTAAACTATAATTGGAGAATGAAAAGTTGTATGGAGATTGTGTTGGATGTAAGGCTGTTATTTTAAAAAAAAAAAAAAAATACACACACACACACACACACACACACAGTCCAGGCTCTCACTCTGGCAAATGGCAGAGTGAGTAATATTCACTAATACCAGTAATAGTGACTAAAGAAATTTCCATTTGTGTGTTTGTACAAAATAATGTCTACTTGAAACAATAGCAGCATACATTATGTGTCATCAATATCAAAATAAGTGAAACAATGAAGGAGCAAAATTTATCAAAGTGACATGAATTTATTTGATAAACTACATGCATTTTTATATACACTTGTTGTTTGGCTAATCATAACACATAGTGTGCATTTTATGTATACATATGTATCTGTTTGTTAACTATCATTAGTGTAAGAAGCAGTAAGTTCTGCATTCCTTGGCTTTGGAATCTAAGTACCCTCTCTTTAATGTTGTCCTTTTCCTTTCCATTCTTCAAATAAATTCATAGAATCATAGAATAGTTGGATTGGAAGGGACCTTTAAAGGTCATCTAGTCCAACTCCCCTGCCATTGGTAGGGACATCTTCAACTAGATCAGGTTGCTCAGAGCCCCGTCCAATCTGGCCTTGAATGTTTCTTTCCTGGAGTTACAATGTAAAGATTTGTCATTAACTTACAATGCTTTTTACTAAAGGTTAAAATAATTGAGTATTATATTCAGTTACCATAATCATTAGCTTCTACCTTCTGTTTCTTGCTTAACAAATATTTTTACGTTCTTTGTCATTGAGTTCTGTACTCCATCATCCAACAGCATCAAGTAAATAATGCTGTAGAGAGGGATGCTAGCTGCACACAGAATAGCAAACCAGAGTCCCATCTATCAAAGCAGTAAAAAATTCACTCTATAATGTTTTTATTCGAATTCTCTGAAGTGTAGTAATAATAGATGGGAAAAGTGGGTAGAAATACGCTTTTAAAATTGATATTGGTTTAAATTGTTTTAAATTTCAGAATTCTGTTATCTAAAGGAAACTGTGATAAAGTTTGTTCGTGTGTGTGTGTTCATACGCATTTTGTGAATCCTTATCTCAACCTAGTAATTAGATTTGTAAAACATAGATGCTCATAGCTGGGCTAATCATCCTTTAGAGTCTATGTACCTGAAGAATTCTAGGACACAAATCATCGCTTCCTAAAGTAAATGTCTAGTATAGGTTTGATGAATCACACTGTAGAGAAGTATGTTTTTCTTCGGTAATTATAAAAGGCTTCTAGCTCACCTGTACCTAACTAAACTGTAGTCGCCTAAGGTCAGGTGAGAGTAATCCAAGCCATAATGTCTAAATATAACTTTTTGCCTGTTGCATAATAAGAACTTCCAATATTTACAAGGGAAGTAGGGAAGGATTTTGTTAAGTTAGTCCTAACTCATTAGTGATCAACATTTCTAATTAATCACCTGACTTATTTTTTACGGTAGTTGAGAGGTTCGGAATGGATTTTCCTTCCGCTGTCTAGAAATGTGTACTTTTGAGCTGGAACCAAACACCATCTCTTTCTGTCTCAAGTGAGAAGCTTCTAAAAATGGGGTGGGAAGGAGGGTGAGGGAGGTTTGCTATAATGCAAGTAAAAGCCTTACTTTAGATGTAGATAGCAGTACCAACCAAGTTATGACTATAATACTGCATTCTATTATTCTACTAAGAAAGGAGGGTGTGTATGAACTAGGACCGTAGTAACTCTTAACAGACTTAAGAATGAAGTGATTAATTACTGTCATTCAAAAGATGTACCAAGGAACAATGCTGGTTTATTTTGTGATGATTAACAAGGTAAGTGATAAAGAAGAATTTTTAACAATATTCTGCAGAAATAGAAATCAGCAGATTGGCAGATGCAAGAGCATCTAGCTACCAGTCAAATCAAAATACCAGTCTGCTTGCTGGCATCGCCTTGTACATCTGGGATTGTAAATGTCTAGATCTGATTACCTTCTTTCTCTCTCCAGTATTTTAAGAAAACAAAATGCTTAGGGGACATTCCCAGTAGACTAATCAAGTGGATTTCTTTTCTTCTGTAGTAGTATTTTTACATATTGGTCTACCTAGTTTCTGCTTCAGGAGTAACAGTCACAGTTTAAGACAATGGAAGCTGTGAGAAGATGAGTTAGTGGCAGGTGCTGCTGTTTCAAACTCTCCATCTCCCATATAACAAAAAGAAAAAAACCACCCATAAAAAAGGTAGTGGAGAAGCCATTAGGCAGCTACATCCTTCCTAAGCATATAGAAGAGATGGGAAGAAACAGCAACCCATTGAGTATGAACACAGGAGACAAAATCTAGTTTCTGTGTAAGAGGAGGGACTGCTGGAAGGGAGAGCTACCTTTATACACCAATTTATTCCTTTTCAAGAAACAAGTAAGCAACAGGGGGGTGGTTATTATTTCCTTTACCAAACCTTTGCAGTTGCAAGAGCATCTTCCATTTTTTCTGGTTTAGTAGCTTTCCCCATTCCAGCTGAGTAACAGGGCTGGGGATCGGCAGGGGATGGAATCTGTTCATGAAAGAAAAGATGGTCTCTCCGTGGCTGTGGTTAAGAGCCTCATTTCTGTCTGCCACCAAATTTGTTTCATAAAGTATTTGTGCATCCTTTTATTTGGTTGCCGGTCTAAGTTTCTTCTGTGTCAAAGTCTGGCGGCCTCTGGTGTAGGGGCCCCTAAATGGGCTACAGGAATGTTTTAAAAAATGATAACTAACTCGCACTGGTCTTCACTTTCAGAAAGCAGGGACTTGAATGCGCCGTTGTTTAATTGTAGCAGTTGTTGTAAAACAGTCTAGCAAAATTCCCATGTCCTTATGCAGTCTTTCTCAGAAATGTAATTAAATGTAAGATTCTGGTGTTCATGAAAAGTATTCTTACCTTGCCTGATTTGAGGATACTGTATTTCTAAAACAGTGCTTTAATCATAAAATGACATTCTCCATAAAAATCCATCCTGAACTGATGGTTCCCTCATGATCTCTTGTATTTACATTTACTATAATTAATACTTCAGCCAGCTTATTCCTGAGTTCGTTATTATCCTTTCTGTCACAATCTCTGGTATTACTAGATCCTCACAGATATCTCTATGTATTTTTGAGTTTTCTTTGTTAGTCTTCTCTTCCTAAACTTCATAGGGCAGGCCTGAATAACAGTCCTTCAGAAATAATCTCTTCAAACTCCTAAATTATGTCGATTGCCATCTGCTGTAACGCACTTCAGGTCTCAGCTGTGTCCTTCCTTTACAGTAATATGATTAGTACAAGTGCATACAAGTTTCCAAATGATGGTCTACCATTACCCCCACCAGGTGCCAGGAAAACGTTACACCCTCATCCCACAGCCTCTCTCAGGACTTCAGCATAGCTGCGTTTGAGCCACGGTGTCTCCTCTGCCTTGTCTCTTCATTCAGGTCCTTCATCCAAGGATTTCAAAGCACCTTTCTAGCCTCAATTAGTTATGTTCCTGTGCTTACCTGTCATCACCTCTGTGAGATGACCACAGTAATTATTAACACTAACAGTTTTATCTGAAGTAATTTATTATAATTCCCTGTATTGTTTCTCCATGACAGGCTTTACAACAGCCTTAATATAACCGGTCTGAAGTTCAGCATTGTAGCTCAGACTTGGGAAGCAGAAAAAGCAAAATTTGCTTGAAGAAAACTTACCTGCAATCTATGTGATTTCATTTTAAAACTGACAATTTTCAGCAATCTAGCCTGAGGCCTACTCTTACTGTCTTTTTAAGTATTCTTGTTTTTCTTTGTCCAACTTTACCTTTTCCTTTCTTTTTCGTATTATACCTTTCCAGATACTTTTTTTATTTTATTTGTTATTGCTCCACATAGCTGGATGTGGATTGGGGTGGTTGCTTAATGAAATATTTTTTGCCATCTAGTTACTTCTTCAGAAAGCATGAAAACACTTTTGTTTGTGCACTTATTCAGTAAAGTGCATCCTGCATAACCACTTTATTTCCTGCTTCCAACAGTCAAGGAGCAGGATGCACAGGTGAGAGTTGCTTCAGAATAGTTACAGATTGTAAATATTTACATTTTCCTGGATTATACGCAGATAACAGGACTTTCCCAGAAGCTTTTTTCCCTTCTCTCACTAGTTCCACTTCATTCTATTTCACGTAAAGGATATTTGCCCTGCCAGAGTATCAAATGATTTCATAATTTTAAAGTTTATTTGAGGCAGCTACTAAAGACAGTGAAATACCTAATTGTGTTGCATCACAAAAGATGCTAAGAAGATATATTGGAGCTTGCTTAGAGCTCAAGAAAATTAGCATACTGGTTTTCGTGTCAGTTGTGAGATATTTTAATAATCTTATCATTAAAATGCTAATAATTTTTCAAATATTCATGAAATATTGAACCCTTGTGTATATGCTTCTTCTGACATACTCTTCTTTCTTCCAGTTTATTCCAGTTTAGAACTGGAAATCTTACAAACTTCTTTAACATATTGCAGCTCTTGCACTCTTCCTTTGCCCAAGTCTCATCTTGAGAAAAACGAAGAGCAGGGCTAAGCGCTGTTCGTGAAGCTGCAGGGCAGACTGGTGAGCCAGTTATAGTTGCCAACCTAACACAGATTGAAAAAATGGGAGCATGTCATACAAAGTATGTTTTTTATCTATGGAGATTTGATCTTCAGTGCTTGTTTTTCCAGTACCTGAATCAAATTAATCAATAGATAACTGTTTGCAACAGTTTTAGTTTTAACTGACTTGGTTTTTTTAGGGGAGAAGAAATGTCTGCTTGGTGTTTTTGATCATGCTCCTTTTCTCAGTGTTCCTAGCAAGTTTTAGATTCATTGGTGAAGGACTGACAATCAGTGGAGCACAGTCTTGGAGTTAAGTTACTATTGGGATGCTGTGCCACCTGGGACCAGAACGGTCTTCTGGGCTGCTAGGTTTGACAATAAGAGCCTGTGTGCAGGAGGGAGAGGGTAGATCTTTGCTTCAGTCGCTGCCTCTCGTTCTGTCTCCTTTCATTCTGCTTCAGCTCGACTTGTTTTCATGACGTGGAGGAGGAAAGGAACTTGATCCTTTAGGCAGTTGGGAACATACTCATATGGTACATTGTTTTATTTGGATTAGATTCTCCAAGTCATTCATTTTCAGTGGATTGGCAGTGTATAAGAAGTTGACGATTAAAACAATCTGCCATTGTGTTTCATTCCTGCGGATCTCTAGTTTCCATAATGTTAAAAGGTGTTACTTATTTAAATATAACTGGTGATATCATCATATCTATGTAGCGGACTGATGTATATTAAAGAACATGGTTCAGAATTTTGGTTGCAAAACAAATACAACAAGTCTTTAGAAGTATTCTTACTCTAGCAGCACCCACAATTCACAGAGCGGTGGGAAGGCAGACAAGGGAGATGCTGTCTTACCGAAAACCATTTCTAGACGACCAGCAACTGAGATTCTGTGCACTATATTGTTTACTTTCGCTGTATTTCTTCATTTTCAGCTTTCCTGAAATGCAGTATTTCCAGCAAGAGGATGTGAGGAAAATTCTTACGGATGTTCTGTTCTGCTACGCCAGAGAAAATGAGCAGTTGCTTTATAAACAGGTAATGAAAATACTGTACAGGTGGCATTCATTGACTCAACATCTTCTATACAGTTTGACAATAATGTAGTTCTGTTGTATCCAGAGTTGTATCATAATGCTAAAGTAATCAAAGAGCTGCTTGTCAGCTGGATAGTAAGAAAAGTAAGCTCATTGAATAACATATGCTTTTTCCTCATAAGGCAGTCCCTCAAATTGTTTTCTTTAAGGTTGCTAAGTTGTCTAACTTCAAATTTCTTAATAAACAACATCGTTTTCTTCAGTGTTGGTTAAGAAAGAAAAAGAAAAAGAAAGGTTTTCTGTGCTTAGGTAAAGAAAGAAAGTATGCAGCAGGATTAAAAATGGTACTGAATAAACAAAAACCATAAATCGTGACTTCTGAAATTTAGGCAAAGTTACTATTTTAAGTTTTATGTAATATTTTAAGTTCTTCGTCAAAGTGCTGAAGTTATGCAGTACATTATCGAATAGATCCTTTATCTAACCCTGTAGCATCCAAATACAATACAGCTGACAAATGCCTTTTGACTGAAGGATGAGGGTGCTACAAATACCACTTCTACAGTGTTACCTGAGGGAGAGCCTGCTCAAACCATTTTTTGACAGAACGGTAAAGAAAGCCTTAAAGCTGCTCTAACTATGCATCCGTATGGGATGCAGGCTAAATTAATTTAACATTTGTTCTGCAGGTTTTGAAGTGAGTATAAGCTTGATACTAAATTAACGTAGCAAGACCGATATTCAGAGTTATGGACATAAGTATATTTGTGTTTGTTTCTCCAGGCTATTAATTGTAGGGTGAATAGGGACTGACGGACTGAGGAATACCGTGTGCATGGACAAAGGATAAACTGTAGAGCAGCAGACCTCACATAGACAAAAAAAAAATTCATAACAAAAATACGGAGGTTCAGTAAATGTGAAGATTTTTAAAAGACACTGTATGTTTTCAGGCATGGTCTGTGACCACCCTGTCCTCAAGCCAGGAAATTAGTGGCATTTCATGAAAAGACTGACACATACGAGTTGAAGGAACAGTTACTTCTGAAGAACTGTCTTACAGATTATATCAAAAATCAAATATATAGTTATCAAACATATCAAATCTCCATCAGCTGGTTATTTCTCATGTTTGACAGTCTGTAAGCAAGGAATAGTCTTGCATGATAAAAAGAAAAAATGAGATTTGTGAGCTGTATTTTGAAGGGCACTGCTAAAGAAAACACTTCAGCAGTATTCAGCCTCCCATTTCTAGTGAATATAGGCCAGAGTACTGATGATGGGAAAATGGAAGAACACATTCCAGCTAATTTAGTCTATCATTTCTTGAACAAGAAGTATTATTTTACTCTTTGATATGACTTAAAAGGACTTAATTACCCTCTGCTCATATTTAAAATCCTCTTGATTCCTTACCAAGAAATAATACCTGTCTACATAAGGATGGAATATTTAGCCAGATCAAATTTAAAAAAAAAAAAAAGCCCTGAGTTTCATCACAAGCTGTTAAAGCTATTATTTTCTACTAGGTGACACCCCGTTTAACATAGACCATATTGTTAATAGTTATGGGATTTTATTGAATTAATGAGACTGTTATCATGTAGTAGAATGTCTTGCTGAGTTAATTGAAACTGCAGAGATTATATAAATGGTATTAATGAACTTTGACTGCCTGATGCCTCAGCTTTAATAAAGACTGCTTGGTGGGCTAAATGAACATAGGCAGATAAAAGAATAGGTTCAATTTTGCAAGCCTACAGGCTGTTGACAAAGAAAACTTCTTTGCCTCTGTTTTCAACTGGTGTGCATCAGTAGTGCAGTAATTCCAGGAAGGGGTTGCCACAGGACTGAGGGGAGAGGTGAAGTGCAGAAATGAAATAAACTTGGATCATGAAAAACTGTTGATTTAGTCTCTCTGAAGTGTGTTCAGTGTATCACCCAAGTCTCATGGTGCTGTGCCAAGTCCACAAAATAGCAAATGATTGCGGTTTTCCTCTCTTGTTGTGGACATGTGTCACTTTTATTAGGAACTTTTCTTTTTTCTTACCTCATTTTGAAAGGGTGGTTTTGTTTGGTTTGTTTTTTTTTTTTTAATTAATGCTCCTGTTAGCTTATAGTAACAATCCTGCTTTTTTGTCCCCGTGTCCCTCTCTTTTTAGATAACATTTCTTTCATATCCATCAGTACCCTTCTCTGAATTAGCTAATAGGAAATAGAGGTTGTGGTGGCGACAGGATATGTTTTTTTCCCTCTTTTAGCAAATACCTATATTGCAGTCAATCTTCCTGTCCTCCTATTTTTATTGGTTCTGTTTTTACCATTGCCTCAAGCCCCACTTCCATAATAATTTCCACTACATCAAAGCCTAGCATATTTTCTTGAAAATAATGAAGGTTACCATTAATTCATCAATAACAGATTACCTCCAAGCTGCTGTCTCCACGGTGACCTGAATACAAAGCCCAAATTAAGGAGTTTGTCTTCATATTCAGTATCCATCATGGGACTGGTCCTGTTGTTCTCTATGAGAATTCCTCTCTCTCATTTGTATGACCTCAGACAAGACTACATTTGCTGTTAGAATTATAACAGTTGGCCAATAAATGAAAACTTATACTTCTGTCTGTCAGCACCTGTACAGGACCCAATGTCTCTCTTTCAAAATATTTGGAAAAAATTACAGTTCCTTGACAATTTGCATGGTTATAAATGTAAATAAAGTGTATCTGAAGGTTACAACATTTTATTGAAACTATTACATAGCATCAACATATAGTCTTACAAGAAGCAATCAATAATGTTTGTTTAATATGCATATATGCATGAAAGTTGTCTTTATAGTAGGGTTTGTGGGTTTTTGACCAGCTTGAAGTAACATTTTATTCGATGAGAGAAGAAGAAATTTCTGTCCCTAGTCAAATGGAGTAGAATGTTGTGAAGCTGAATTACAGATTTTAAAGACAGAATCCTCACTGGGATTGTTGAATTTTTAAACAGCAGCTGTAAATATAAATCTAAAGAGAATAGTATATTGTACTTAAGAGTATGTAAAAATTACTCTTAGCATTCTTCTGTAAGACTGGTGCCAAAATTTTGGTCCTAGTTACACTGAAAAGAAATAGTGACAATTAAGCTAAATCGCTAGGCTAACTATTGTTCGCTCATGATTTGATTGCCCTTAGAGAAGTCAATAAAATTTTTAAATGCATTGATTCACTTTTCATGGTAGAAATGCTATATTTCTGGTTTTCTTTCTAAATCATAGACTGTATTATGAAATCAATATTTTGTTCTAGCTGGGAAGTGTCATAAAATTATCTGAGCTCTGTCAACTTGCTTATTAACACAAAAGAGTTTTAGTAAACTGCAGCATTGAAAAAATATGTGTATGCATATTACACTGGTGGCTTTTCTTGCCAAGCTAAAAATCTCTAAACATTTGAAGTACTCTTGTAACTGAAAGATCAGAGGTATCTTTTTGAAATCCTGATATTTCATCATCTGTTTTGTTTTTGTTGTATGTGGGCAGCGACGTTATGATTCTACTTTATTATAAAGTTGATATATTATTATGTTGGAAGAATGTATGATGTGCTTTTATCTTTTATAACTAATTCTTATTTTATGTCCTCTTTCTTTTTCTTCAGCTTATATGTTTACAGCTTAGGTGGTAGTTTTATTAGATAGTCAAGTTTTTGGCATTTCCATTTCTCTTATTTCATGTTAGTATATCAGGGCCAATAAAAGGTTAGACGTGGAGCTGTTAATTAACCAAGGGCTGTGAGTATGTATGAAAGTACAACCCAGGTTATCTACAGTTTATTTAAATATTTTTGCTTCTTATATTTATTGCCTAATCCTGGACCTATCTCCCTGTCTCTCCTATTCCTTTCCCTCTTGGTATGACCATAAGACTTTCAAAAATCTAAAGCTGTCAATTTGTAATCTAACCCATATTGTTGCGTTTGGGAATTTTACCTCAGCTCCTGAAATCAAGTGGCTGCATTGGGTTTAATCTTTTTTTTTTTTTCCTAACTGAATTTCTATTTAGCCTTCATCTTTTGAAGTAGTCCCTAAAGGTTCAGAAATAGGAAGAGAAAGAAAACATCCAAACTTCAGTAGTTTTGCTGTCTTTAGCTTTGCCCAGTCGACTGCTATTGCTGCAACCCTACAGCTGAGACTGTAACAGTCATCTCAGTCCTGAAGAAATTAAAATTAAATTTCCTAGGATCTCAATTGATAGCACACAGAGAAATTTCCAAACCTCTTTTTTTTAATTCAACACTGCTAGGTATTGGAATTTCCTCTTATGAGCAGATAAGATTCACTAGCATGCATCCGAGCACACTCAAGATAGATAATGATCTAGAGAGGGCTTCCACATCTACTTCTGTGCTCAGTTTGGACCACTTAAGGAAAATCCCCATTATTTCCAATAAAAGTTAAAGGCTTTTAGTAGCTAATGGAGCCGTTTGATACACATGAAGCTGATAAGCTGACGCACTGATACTGAATACGTCTCAAATGCTATATGGAATATCAGCTGATATACCAGCAAAGCAGCAGAGTAGCTGCACAAGCGTGTAACTCTTTCATTGCTTACATCTGTCCATCACTGAAAGGGCTGGAAAAGCAAGTGGAGAGGCTTCCTAGCTTGGAACTGCAGGCATAAAAGTAGAACAGCGCCTGTCTGGGGACCCATCATCTGACTCCCAACAGCAGCCTGAAATGGCTGTGAGTTTGATGGGCCAGCCCCAGTGCTCTTTCTGCCAACAGGATAGACAAGATGGTCTTCCTGGCACCCCTGTCTGCCCAGAGCACTCAGCTGGAGTTGGGACTGAAGCTCCACTGGGCGAAGTAGCTGCACCTTTGAACCGGAGCACTGCTGGCAGCACGATAGGGCTCCACCCAGAGCAAGACCCGGCAGGGGTAGCCTGGGCACCTGGCACCAAGCCCTGGCTGTAGTTGGTGGTTTTGGGCTGAGGTCAGGAGTTTCCTTCCCCTTGGAATGATCCTTGTGTCCAGAGGCAGCCAGACAGGTCTCAACCCTTCATCCCACATCCCTTCCATCACCAAAGGGCTCTCCTCACTTCTTTTGTATGGCTGACCCCCACCCCAACCTGTAGCTTGCGTAGTTCCTACCTGCCATCCTAGTCCACCACTGGGAGCCCAACTCCCCTGACAGAACCAAATTCCCCAGTTCCGATACCCCAAATCCTCCTTTTCCCTGATTTAATACGAGGGAAGGGGCTGACTATCTGCTGGAGATGAGGTTTCATTCCGCGGGCTATAGTTTTACCTGCCAGTGCGTTGCAGCTTGCCAACTGGACTGCTTGTTTTCTGAAGCGGTTGCTTCTGCTGCTGATAACAAATTGACAAGCCCCAGGTGAATCAAGGCAAATCAAGACGGCTTTTTTGTTCCTGGGGAGCTCCAGGTAAAAGCACCGATGGCTGGCCTGGGTGGCCCAGCCATGCTTCTAATGCTGGCTGAAGTCCTCGACTATCCACCAATTTTTTCTGTTCTGAGTCCTGCATGTTTCTGTATTTTTTCTGTATCTTAATATAGATTGCATATATAAGTAATAGTCTGTAATGGAACAGTACCAAGTCTCCTATGCATTGTGTTATAATGAGTTTATTTTTAATATTGACATAACAACTTCAAAAAAAAAAAAAAAAAGAAAAAAACCTCATTTTATTTCTTATGTCCATAGGAATGGAAGTTTCATTTTCTAATTTCCCAAATAGCTGCCCTTGTCTGCTCTGAAGGCTACTGTTACGCTTTTATCTATGGTTTTGGAACATTATCAAATAAAAAATAATTTTAAATTTTGCAGTTTGTCCCTATTGCAGATCATTGTATTGTGGATCATGACTGTAATTATCATAAATAAAATTCATATTTATGAACATAGATCTTGGAGTAAACTGCCAGGTGCAGGATTGCCTGCCATTGCCAATTTGTTGTCTGTTGTGTTAAAAAAAGGGAGAATAACTTGCTTCTGTATATTGTAGGAGAATAAACACTTGGATTTAATCAGAATTTAAGATAAAAGCCATTGATTATGAAACTGTTCTGTTAAGAACGTAAATGTTCATGCTTTTAGTTGGTCTGCACCTAATATTGCTGGCTACCTGATGGATTAGGAACTATTATATGACTGAAAAATCTTACTATACTTTTGCTTCCTTTTATGTTTAGGGTATGCATGAACTTTTAGCTCCCATTGTCTTTATCCTGCATTGTGACCACCAAGCTTTTTCACATGCCAGTGAAGCTGCACAACCAAGGCAAGCATTGTGTTTTGTTTTGTATAGTATAAAAAATCCACTTTCTTAAAAAATAAGTAAGTTGGCTAGACTAGAACTTACAAACATGTGTTCCTTAATTCTTTGTTTATAACTGATAAATTGATATCAAAAATTGTTGCATCCTTGTGCTTTGATGGGAGTTTCCTTATTTCATCTTCCCTACTACAGCTTCTCAAAGGGGGATTAAAAGCGTAGATATTGGCGCCTTCACAGATATTAGCTGGCAAAAAAAGGGAAGACGAGAAACCTAAGGAAAACCCTAATCAAAAAGCTTACATACCTACTTACTGTTTCACCTCGTTCTTGTTGCCAGAAATGGTTTAGGTTTTGTCATTACAGCGAGGAGGCAGATTAGAGAACTACAATCATAGAACGGACAAGTTACCAACTCCCTTTCCTCATAACTTAAAAGAGAAAAAAATCAATGTAGACAAATTGTTGTGATTTATATTTCATTCATCACCTGCAATGTTGTGGCTGCAATATCTGACTAACCTTTGACGTGGTAGTAACATTAAGTTTAGCTATTGATTCTCCATTTCACTCAAACTGTGCGTGTATGTGTGCATGTAATCATACACATATGTATAAAATATCACATCACACATGATTGTCTGTCAGCCAAATTCAGATGCTTTTTTTCTTGCCCTATATGTAAAGCTTTTTTTAAAAAAAAAAAAAAGAAACTAGTTGCCTTCTTGTGTCACTTGTGATATTTAGGTCATTTCTTTTAATTTGTCTTTTTACACTCTCTTTTGGAGTCCAGCAGTGAATAAAAGCCAGTTTAATTATGTGTACTATATAACCTCTGTTAGCATCCCTCAACATGATTGTCCAAAGGCAGTTAAGCATAAGGATGGAGATTATTTATAAGTGTGTGTTTTTATTCAATGTCTGTCCTTAGATATCCTGAAATTACCTAGAAGATGCTCTTCGGTGCTAAGTAACTTAAAATAACCATGTGTTATGCACAGCATTCTGTTCCATCCCCACTGAAAAAGTAGAGCTAAGCAGCAAAGTAGATGGAAAAGAGGTGCTGTCACTGATTAATTGCTGTTAAAGTACAATAAAAATACAGGCTATTAAAACAAAATAAATTAATGTTTTGATACTGCATATTTGACCAGTAACCATATTTTTTTTGTTTGGGACAAACAGTGATAGATTGTGCAGCAATCAATTATTCTAGATCAAGCATATTCAAATAATACATTGTGACATTCAGTAATTTGTTATTTGGAATAATTAGATGGTTACTTCATTGTAGTGCAGACAAGGCAGCTAATTTGTTTTTGATCTTTATAAAAAGGAAAGACTTCATTTGTTCAATGCAGTTGCTCTTTTTAATTAAAAAGGCTAGTTTTCTCATTTGCACTTTATATGAAAGTTGGCTTATAAATACATAATAGTACATGCAGAACGCTGACCAAAAATAAACATTCACATTTGGATTGTTCACTGTTGCCTTTTTCAGCGAGGAAATGAAAGTTCTTTTGAATCCTGAATATCTGGAACATGATGCCTAGTAAGTTTTAACAACTTGCTTTACATTTAATTTGCTCTTATTTATAATACATTATTTAACACCAAGTTTCTGTGTTTTTCCCCTTCAGTGCAATGTTCACACGTCTTATGAAAACTGCAGAACATTGGTTTTCAACTTTTGAACATGACAGTCAGAAGGTAAATATTACTATAAAATGTATTTATTGTATTTTTAAGCAAATGTGATTTTTAATATGATTGAAGTAATTTGAAGCTAATAAGGCATCTTCTCTCAAACAACTTGGTTAAAGCAGGCTCAACCAAGTTTACATTTTTTAGAGGTTCTTCAGAATTTGGTCATAAGCACTTGTGGAAAGTTCCAGTTGAGAGTTCCTATCTGTTGAAAGATCACTTGGTAATCAAAAGCCAGATGTGCAAACACAGATTCTCCTATGTATGAGTGATGTTCTTGTGTAGCATTCGAAAGAATGCCTGTCACAGGCACATCTCTATGCCCAAAACCTGTGCAAATGTCATGTTAAATAAATGCATATAGGCAGTGTTTAACGTATTGAGGCTTGAATTGTTTTCAACTGTTTACAATATAAACAATTTGCTGTGAAACCAAAACTTTAATCATAGACTGTCTATCAAAGGTCAGGGTTTCCCTAACTTCATCACTCCATTTCCTTACTTCTTTTCTTCTTGATCTCAGGGTATTCAGATCTCCTGTGTAGCTATGCAGACACCACTGTATTTAGTATGTTGCTTCTTTTTATAGGAAAGCTTTTTCTGTGTTCTGAGTTTAGTTCTACAGAACTCTTCTTTGCAGGGACCTTCTAGGGACCATCTAGTCCTTGCCCGTAACCATTTTTCGTGCATGGCATGAGGGACAATTCCCTCAGTCAGTTGCTCAAGATTTCCTTTGAATACTTTTTTCCTTTTTCCCTGCTTACATTTCTCTCTTTTTTTAATTCTGAAAAATTATTTGTGTGATGGAGTGTGTGTAGAAGGCTCTAGCAAAACATAGCCATATTACATGTATTGCCAAGACATTCAGTGTATTATATCCTCAGAGTTGTCCTCCAAACTTAGTTCCAGCTTGATTTCACTTCAGCATTTTTCACATAGACCATGGGGTGAGTATCTAGAGTTAACAAAAAATTAGTAAGAATTTGGTTGGTTTTGGATGTCCACATGTGTGCACCAAAACCTGAATTTGCAAACTGTAATTAGGGAGTACCAGTTTGAGAGGTGGTTTTGCCTGTGTGTTGAAGAAAAAGATGTTCCCCCAAGACTCACATAAAAGCTTCTGTTTTCTTTAAATGTCTAAATGTATCTGGCATATATTTTATTACACATTGGCATCTTGGCCTAAGCTATCTACAGTTATAAATTACTATTTGGATTTGGGTTTTTACATAATTCTCAGTAACTAAGGATAAAGCATATGAGATACAAATTTTATGAACTTATTACATAGTCACTTTTATTCCAACAACAAAGCTGTGAGACATGTTTCTCTGAGTGTAGCTTTTCAGAATTCAGTGTATTAAAATGTATTTGTTCCAATTTCTGTGACAGAGGTGGTAAAATCTGAGCTTGAATTTTATTCTGGGAAATAACTAGGTCTGCTTACAGATTTTCAGTGCTTGGGTAGAAGGTGAAAGTTTACATTGCCCTTTCCAGTCCTTTCGTGGCATAAAAAATTAACAATGCAAAGCGCATGGATTAATATCTAGTTGTTTGTTCTTGTTCTTTGCAAACATGTATAATCTTTAATAATTCTTTCTTGTACATATGCCTTTTACAATCATGACTTTGAGGGTTAGCTACGTAATAAAGTCTGAATCTTCACAAAGGAAGCAATGAAAGCATGTGCTCTGAGAGACATGTTACATTTTATAGCCTCTAACAGTTGGTTCCATTACTCCCAATTGCCATTAGAGGAGCTTCTCCAGCTACTCCATTCCCTAGTGGTTAATGAGAGAAATCTGTCCACGGTTTATGCTTGTACTATGTCCTAGCCTCCCTTGACTGCCGTAGCATTTGTTTCCTAAATGCATGAATATATAAATTGTATTAGTATCGACTGCCAGCCATTCCAGTTCATGTTGTGGCAGGTAATGTTTTGTGGCAGGATTTGGTGACTCTGTTCCTAATACTTGATCTGAATTTTTTAGCTGCCTTTCACTGATATCCATATTTAAACTGTTCTTAGAGGTGAACCTGATGCTCTCCTGTAAACAGTATAGCCCATCTCTAAGACATCCCTCTTCTTGTCTTTTTATTGTGAACCACATCCCTTTGGGGTTGATCATTTATATTTCGTGTTAGCAGTCGATGATTAAACCCATGCACTCAAATGTCTTCCAAGACTTAGAAGCTCACAAAAAGAAAACGGATGTTTTGTCTCATGAGGCAGCTTAACACATAGCGAGTACGGGCAGGGGCACCATATCCTGTTGTCCACTTGGCTTCTGTGCTTTAGGCACAGGCGCTGTGAGTCATTTCTAGTTAAACATTTTGGCGGCTTGGTTGTATTAGTTTATTTGAGCATCTTTCTGTTTGGGCTGTTTCGTTCACACCAGCTGATGGGATTTTTGGAGCGATTTCAACTGACTAAATGTATTGCCATTTTCTCAACCAAATTGTGTGTGAGGAGACAACAGACATATCATATGCACTCTAGTCATCCTCTGAGCTTCTTGGCGGAGTGCACCAAATCAGGAGGCATGGACAGTCAAGGCATTGATTATTGATTGCAACTGCTGTCCCCACAGATTCTGTCATGCTTTGAAGATTTCTGTTAATAGCGTTAATAATTTCTGAGATGCCGATGAACTGCGTTTTGATGGATACCATTTACTTACCTCACGCTTTTAAAAATAGCAAGCCGGCATATATTATTTTATGTGCTTAGCCGTGATGATAGTCAGTCAGTCTGACAGTCAGCAGTGTGTCAGTACTGCATTATGCCAAGGTGCACAAATGCTGCAAGTGACAAATAACTCCAGTTTTGACACTCCTCCGTAAGAGGAAGCTTGCATTAGTTTTGATATTCAGAATCTTTTGACACTTGAGCCAGTGTTTAAGAGTCTGTCTTCTAGTTTTGTAAAGATGGCTTTAAAACCCACGGACAACTAATGATGTAAAGGCTAATCTGGGTAACTAGCTAGTCTTCTCACAGTCCAAGTCCAACTAAGTAGAAAGATTCTAATGTTGAGATTTCTGTACAAGAATCTATGCCTATAATCGAGAAAAGCTTTCGAGTCATCAGAGTTACGAGTGCATGCAGTGGTGAAGCTGAATTTAAACTCAACTTGAATAAACCGGAATAAACTTCATACCCCAGATGTGTGCCAACTGATGGAACGTGCACAGTCTATGAATACGTACAGTTACAGACTTTTATGATTAGTTTCAAAGGTAAATTGATATGTTTATGCAAAAAATTACTACAGACTGGCATTTAATGTTAAGGCAATGTTATCATATCATACTTCAGGAGTGTTTTTCTATATAGATTAGAAGGAGATTAGTGGATACCCCTTTTCAGTATTTTGCATTCTAGCATGTGACCAAGAAGATAGTGAAATGGGTCTGAAACAACAATAAGAAATAGCCATACAATGGAGAAACAAAATCAGGGTAAAAAGAAGGCTGCCCAATTTGGTAATAAAGAAGTAAATAGAATAATTAAAAAAGGGGGTAAGAGAAATATCCTTTCTCAACGTACCTGCAGGTGTGAAGAACTTTAGTATTTAAGTAAGTGGCACCATTTCTTATTGGCCCCTAAGATGCTAGATGTTTTATTTTAAATTTCTATTTGGTAGAACAGGAAAGATTTTGAATGAAAGGATGCCATTTCAGTGAGCTTTATTGGACAGTCTGAGGGAGCTTTTGTCAAGCAATTTGCTAGGCCATCTTAAATGAATATGACTTGGTACCACAATAGCATGGCAAAATCACCGCACTGTAATAGACAGATCAGTCCCTTTGCTGCAATTGCCATAGCAAAGCAACAATTAAGCAGATTTTAAGATACAATTTATAATTGATCAGATCCTTAAATAGAAACATTTTACCTGAAATCACTGCTCAGCATCATACAATATTTTCTGCAGTACAGAAATGGAATAATTAAGAAAAAATATTTCAAGCAAAGGAGATCAACATGAAAAATAGGCTTTTTGGTAGAAACTATTAAATGTTCGCCACCCACTTGAATGTTAAACCATGTTGTAAATGATTGTGAAACACGGGTACTTCTCTTCCTTCCACTTAAAATGCTGATACAGAGAGAGTGGGGTTGAAGAGGGACTGTAATCCCTGAGGGGATAGCTTATATGACAAAAAAAAACTTTCTTTCTTATCAAATGTTAAAAATAATGTGCTTTTCACTGTATTGAACCAAGTGAGTTTGACTTTCAACAGTTTAAGCTGTAATGAAATCTTCTGAAAGTATTAACACTTTGACCTTGATAATGCTTCTCTATCAATATACTGAGCAAAAGGGTAGAAAAACAATAACTATTTTTTAAAGTGAAGCTTTCAGGTCAGAGAGCCATGATGACAGATTGCAACAAAGTCATTGCAAAATCTTCTCTTCTTACTGTTTCAATTTTCCCTCTTTTATATCTTTAACATTGTTCCTGACAGCTTAATTCTCCATTTCCCTTTCCCCAATCTTTCGTTCGATAGGTTTGACTTGTTCTTTTTTATTTCTCATCCTCCTTTTTACATGTTTCCTATTCAGTGGAGTTCATTACTTGCTGCATTTCTTTCTAGCCTTCTGTCTCCTTTTCAATAATACTTCACTGTTTTGCAAGAAGAACAAATTTAAAGCAGTATCAGGTCCAAGGATGCTAATACTCCAGTAGTTTTCTTCCTCTGTTTTCACTTGGTGTGTGTCATGTTCTAGATCATGGCACAGTTTGCTCAACCTTTAGGTCCAACCAACTACCTTCTAACCATCAGGTTCATCTCACTGTTCTATTTCCTTTTTGTTTTAAAAGTTTTCTGATGCTTTTTCAAAGTTGTGTAGATTTTGAGGTATAGCCACCAGATTTTCTGCGCAAAGGAAGCCTGTTTAGAAAGGATTGTTTGAAAATAAGTTATTTCCTATTTGGTATGCAATTTATTATCCTCTGAGGGCATATATTCTCTACTAAGATACCATTCATCTGCTTTGCTCTGGACTGACTCAGTCTGCTGATATTAAAGCTAAAATAAAGCTGTCAACACTTTGTCAGAGCATGAAAAGTAAAGCATGCACGTAAAAATTGACATGCAGAATGAGGGGATGAACCTTGGCCTGCCTGCGAAGGGAAATCCCACAATACCTTCCGCAGAAGTGGATACTTGATATTCCTCTTTTCCTGGAAAAGAAACAACTTACTAATATTTTTATGTTTCTTTGGAAGCCAATGATTACAACAAAACAAATCTTTTGTAGACAATCCCTTTAGGCAGTAAGGCTTCATGGGATGTTCTTTTTTTTCCTGTTTTCTGTGTCTGCAGGAGAAAGATGTGATGATTCCACCTATGCCATTTGCAAGGCCACAGGACTTAGGCCCATCTATTGCTATTGTAGCAAAGGTAAATCAAATTCAGGATCATCTGCTGAAGAAACATGATATTGAGCTGTACATGCATCTGAACCGACTGGAAATTGCTCCACAGATTTATGGACTGTAAGTGTTTGTTAAGCATTATTTAATTTAACTCCTTCTATTTTTATTTCATTATATTAGGACATTTTTTTCCTTAAATTTAGGATTGGAGGAATGGGGCTCAAAAGAAGTACTGCTTGTCTCTTAGAACTTATTCAGTTGGCAGCATTACAGTAAATGACACCCCACTGTTGTATTTGTGACAGTGGCATTCCCAGTACAGATAAAGTCCGTTCAGCTACATATTAGAGAACTTGATGAAGAGTCCCAGTGCAGTGATGAAGTATGTACTTGAATCGGGTACATACCCTACCTGTGGTTTTCCTATAAGAAGAAATGGGATGATAACAGGACATAAAGAAAGGGGGAAGGGGAAAATCATTAGCATTGAATGGTTTTTTTACTTGATTTTATCACCAATTCAGTATCAGTGAACTTTCCCCTACTGCAATAATGGTGTTTTGGATACTGGTAATACAAGTGTGGTGAGGCATGTTAAAAGTTAAGGCATGGAGATAATAAAGTGTCTGTATGCAGAGTCAGCCCAGGTAGTCCTTTTTCCATTAAGCTGTCTCAGATGCATTCAGCTGGTTGTGTATCGTGTGCCCCCTTTCCAGGGGGGCTTATTGGGCCAGGTGTGACTTCGGGTGTCGTGGGCTTGTCCACGTGTTTGCACAGCATGGCATCCAAACCAGTTACGGCTGCTATAGTCAGTCTGGGTCAATACAGAGCATGCAGCTTAGATGAACCATGAGTAACTGTGAATTGACTGTAGTTTTGAGGAAGCATTTTGCCTTCATCGTCTGGAATTCTAGACATTTGATTCGTTTTGATCATACCTTAAAGAGTTGGCAAGCTATATGTGCAGTTGCAGTGACAGAAAAATGACACTTTTAATTTTTTTTTACTTTTTGCAATGATTTAAATTACGGTTGGCTTTGCCTTAAATGAAAAAAAAAAAGGTTTCATTTATAGGTGTGAATTTCCAAATGTAATTGTGAATTACATTTAACAACTCAATAGAAAATGTAGAAAGGGAGGGAAAAGGTGACTGTGTAAATATCAGGCCATAACTGCAATACTTAACATTAAAGTCTAATTTGATGCTATAGTAAAATGGAAAAATGCTGAGATGTAGTATACTCTCAAGAGAAGAGTTGAACTAAGACTAAGTAGTAGTCCCACACTTACAAATAACTTGTATTAGGAAGATAAATGTAATTCTACAAAACTTATTTAAATAGTTTTGATAGGAAGGGGTTACAGGGAGAGGAAGAATAAGCCAAGTAAACTCAAGGTATTAAGAGTATGAAGAGGACAGATTGTCCTATTACAGTATTTTTTTGCATAGTGTAGAGTTGTGTATTTTCTTAATATCTTCACTAGTCTGGAAGAGAAAGCAAGGATCCTTAATAAACTTCAGGGGTAGTGATGAATAAGTAGGCAGTATAAATATCAAGGAAAACAAAAAGACTCTTTCTTTTTTATGAAGGCTTATGAAAACACACAGAAAATAAGATAAACCTCAGAAATTTGCAAACAGGTATTTTGAGGCAAAAATAATTTGTACTGTAGGTATTCACTTCAGTATAAGATTTTGCCTTTCAGTAAGAGAAATAATTGAAAGAAAAAATTAGACTTTAACTCAAAACATAACATTATAATAACAGAAGAACGGTGCAGTCTGGTGTGGCATAAATAGAGCTGAATCTGAATAAAGAAATTTACAGTTAAGGGAATGAATTATGAGAGAGAGCTTCAGGCTGACTATCAGGAAAACCTTACTAACAGGGAGCTGTTAGACTGTAAAATAATATATCAAAATTAACAAAGGAAAAACCATCAGAATATTTTAAAGACAGGCTTTGAAAAGCCCTCAGAAATGGATAGTATCATACAGAATGAGTCTGCATTGGCAGAAGAGGAAAGTAGGTTGCCTGTGAGGTCATATCCTTCTCTGATTTCTGATTTAATATAGAGGACAGGTGAAAAAGAAAGGGAAAGGAACATGACGGTGTTGTATTATTCTCACCTTTAATGATGTCTGAACTCTTCAGAATAGTAATTTCCAGTAGTGAGCCAGCTGACAGTCTCAGATGCTGGATCTTTTCCTGTATTTAACATTTCCTGAACTAGAAACAGCATTTCTTAAACATAATAGGTTATTAATAATTGCTAAACATAACCCAAGTGCAGAATTCATGTGAGCTTTTTGTTGAAGTTTATTGTTTTGCTGAAGTTTGTTGGATTTGCCAACAATAAATATCCCTCTGTCAGCCTTGATGTCACTCAAAAAATATACAAATGGTAGAAGGAAGGCTGGGAACTTCCCTCAAAATATATTATGGTGTTCCTGGTGAAAAGTATCAATACGAAAGGCTTGTACTTAGTGGCAGTGTCCCCTAACCTGAACAAGTTATACAGTTTACTTCTTTAAAAATACAGTATTTTATACTTTGCATCCTTCTATAACCTTCTGGGGCAAGGTAGAAACAATTCTTACTTACTCTTTGTATGTTCATACAGTTGATTTCAACTTTTGATGTTCACAAATAGTCCTTTTGTTTTTTAAACACTAGAGATACTTGTTCTGCTGGGAGGTCAGGTGCCCTAGTCTGTTATACTGTCCTTGTTCCATGTCAGAAACTGTCCTTTAAAATAAAATGTGGTTACACACTTCTTGACCAACTGTGACAGGCATTTCAGTACGTGTGGCACGACTCATTAATTTTGGTTGCTGTCCAGTAGTGCAAAGGTTGTATGCTGGTTTTGTGGAAAAGTATACTCATTATTGCGTTTATCGTATCAATGTGAAAAATCTATTTTTTCTTCATCGGTTAGTCCTCTGCAAACCGTGGTGTCATTAGCCCCAGCCTGGTGTGCCAGGCTGCATGCTGGCAGGCGCTGCCAGGTGAGGAGAAATCTCTTCTCTGGGTAGTTTACATCTTGTGAAGTTTTAGCTCAAGGGAGTGGATTTCTTTATCTTCTGAAGGGCGTCAGTGAACAGACTTCGCATTACCTGGCTATCTCATTTCACTGCTGATCTGAAAGAGAACCGTTAGGTATAGCGAGGTGTACTAGGGTCCTGGCTGTGCCATACTTCGGTGCTCTGGTCATTCAAGTTGGTGTCATATACAGTAGCAGCCTTAGCACAGGAATTTCTGTAGCTAGAAATTTTGTGAGGCTGCATATTCATTCACTTGCAAGTCAGCCGCTGTGTATCCCTGTGGTAATTATTCAGCTGCTATTAATATCAGCTGAAATGGAACCAGCAATACAGAGATAAAGGCTTTGTGCCTTAGCATTCTTCAGTCTTCTTTGTTTGCCGTATTTCTAGCTTGTTTTTAGACCCTAAGATAATATTTTGCAGAATAACATTGTTTCACGTTCCTGGTAGCACTGCGAATTGCATACGGTCTAACCAAACTTAACTAATCATACCTAATTTTGTACTTTGTAAAGTAAAGCACAAGAATGGTTTGAAAATAAAATGGAATTGATTACATTAACAGTTCAGTGACATGCTTCCTGATAATAAACTTTTCTCTAGTTTATTATTTTATTTTTTTATTTCTCTAGTTTGTTATTATATTTTTTATTACGCTAAGATTGAACAAAGAGATTGGATACTCTGAAGGGTTGACAGATTGAATAACAGTTTAATTGTAAAATTAGATGAGTTAACAATGATTAATGTCCTAGATTAAATGGTATTCTAGTGTTAATTTCTTTGACTCTTATATCTAATTCATGTTAAAGCACAAAATAATTATTGCAAAACCATCCTGCAGTTTCTGCAGTGGCCTGTGTTTGCAGTGGCAAATTAAGCAGGTTGTGCTTTCAGCTTAAGAAAGGACAAGGTTTGAGGGAAGTCTTCATATATCTGTATTTTAGGACATTTTCTTCCATTTATAGTAGTAGAGGACTTCTTTTACATTTCAATGAAAAGATGAATCAATTGGAAAAGTCCCACATAATATCATTATTACTACTTTAGTTTACGTATTGAGGGTTTCAAAGTGAATTATATTGCATCAAATGAAATTCTCATAGAACTGCATGCAGTAAGTACAGCCAGATCATGTAAATATATACGATATGGTTGTACAAAAATAATGCACACAAAGATAATTGACAAGGCATAAGTGTAAAAAGCTTTATTTAAGAGCAAAAATTAACTGTTGGCATGAACTCACTAGTTTCTGCATCATAACACTGGTAGCAGTATTATATTGGTTAAGCAAACTCTTTCTAAGCACATATCCAACAGACAATAAAGCGCATGCAGAAGTGAGCGTAAATATTTCATGATCGCTTAATCTCAGTACAAAAAAGGCCTTCTTAGAACATTCAGTGCCAATGACTTTGCCTCCCGCTGCCACTCTGCTTTATGATGATCAATCAGATAGACATACTGCCTACTGCAGTTCGAGATGCAGTTTCAGCCCTTTAGGCTGATACCACAATTATACTTCAGGAAGAAACCTATCTCATGAAGCAAAGAAAAAAAAAAAATAGAAAAGAAGGATGCAAACTAAGTTACAGGGTAACTAGGCACGAGTGTAGATTTGAAGATAGCATTAGAAAGGTTGTGTTACAGCAAAGTCAACAGCAGATGTGCTGCTCCACTATTACTATTCTTAGTTGCTTTGCTATGAGCACTGCTGTGGGGCATCCACCTGTTTTAGTTTCTCTCCCATGCCATTATGGTACCAGGCAGTATTCTTTTCCGTAACCATATTGGTCTCTGGAGGCAGAATTTAAAGAATTTTACCTGTGCAGTAAAGGAACATAAATCATAGTGATTGTATCCAGGGAAAAAAAAAAAATCCCGCTAGTCATCAGAATAAGAAATCTTCATGATCTCCAGAAAAAGTCTTGCTAAGGCTTGCTAAAAGATCAGTCTTTCTAAGGAGAACTTCACAGATCATCCAGGATGCCTGGGTTTATTTGGGATTCTCACACTTCACCAAAAAAATGAGAGAGATAATATAAGACATGGTCCAAACCAATTACAGTTC